GTGTAAAAAATAAATCTCAAAAATTAATAAGTTGTAAAATTTAACGAAATGATACTAAATTTTTTTTCTCATGTTGTGTGTCTCTCTCTCTCGAGATGTTTTCTCTCCAACTTCTGCTAACGGACTGAAAGATGAAAGAAAAATGGAACAAAATGGCTTCATAAGAATCACAGGCATAAGAATCATAGGCATCAGAGGTTTATGAATAGGAAAAATGTTATGCTTACTAAATTTTCTTACCAAATCTCTCGTCTCAAATGATATGAGACAATCTTTGTCCTTAGATATTAATGAGATCTACTTATCCTTTTTTTTTTTGGTCAATTAGATTATATTTCTATTATTTGAAAAGAATGAAGTTTACAGGAATCAAAGCAATTACAGACTACCTTAATAGAAAAGCACAGATCAAAAGAAAACACCCTATAGTAAAGTAAAACAAAGGAGCCAAAATCATCCTACTCCCTCACGTGCTTCCTTTTCGCACATCCTTTCCAAAACCTTGGTAGGCCACCACATCCAATTAGGAGAAAGTATATCCCTGCTTCTCTGTTTCGCAACCTAATGTACAATCTTATTGCTTTTTTTACTCACATATTGTATTTCAATCTTAGGAATCAAATGTATGTATTTCCAACTATCCCTCAAGATAGCCTCAATCTCCCTCAAAAAGCAATTATTACCATTATTCAAAGCATCAACACATGCTTTTGAGTCTGACTCCACTATTAGTGAAGGATAGCTATGGCTATACAACAAGCCTGTCTAATGGCACATGCTTCATGCTTCCACTATTATGGCTGAGTTTGAAGCAAGCTGACCTGCACTTCCCTGTATTAAGATTCATTCACTGTCTCTAAAGACTACTCCAAAGGCCCCTCTTTTCTGATCTTGCAACCAAGCCCCATCACAATTAACTTTTACCCAACCCTTTGGTGGAGTTTTCCATACATCTACTTTACTCTCTTTCTTCTTACCATTATCATGCTCATTCATAACACAATCCCTCCATTCCTCAATGGCAAAGATAGCTTGGCTTATCACTCTTCTAGGCAAAATCTAAACCTGATTATATACCTAGTTATTTCTGCATTTCCATATAGCCCACAACAGTGAAGCTACTAGTGTCTGATGACACAATCCTTCCTCACCTTTACCCTGCTATTTCAGCACCTCCAAAACCCACCCTTCAAACCTTGTTATCTTTTGTCTATCAACAAGTATCTTTAGAGGAGAGTCTTTCCAAACTTCTCCAACCCAGGAACAAAGTAAAAATACATGCTCTATAGTCTCCTCCATCTCCCCACAGATAGGACTTAAGGGAGATTTCAGAATTTTTCTTCTCCAAAGATTCCAATTAGTAGCCAGGGCATTTGACACTGCCCTCCACACAAACAATTTAATTTTTGGCAGAGCACTGATTTTTCAAACAACCTTCCATAATTCCCCTAGGATCATATAAGGGGAAGAAGCAGAAGTCTGTCCTTCATTAAGGGGGATAGCCGAAGTCAAACTATTATAGCCACTCTTCACTGTATACTGCCCATTCATAGTACCACACCATCTAGCCTTATCATCTTGCTGGGTAAAATTAATGGGTAAAGTTAAAATGATTTCTGAAACAATAGGAGAGAAAAGAGACTTAACCAAATCCAGATTCCACTTCATCTGTGGGAAAAGAATCAAATCATTCACCCAGATCAACTGACTATGCTTTACATTGAGAATTTCCTTATAACCGGGCACCCAAGGATCTTCCCATATTCTGGTCTGCTCTCCATTTTCTATAAGCATACTATACCCTTTTTTCAGGACACCTCTTCCAGCCAACAAACTCCTCCAAATCCATAAGCTATTTGTTCTTATATTGGCACCTAAATAGAAACATTAGGAAAATACTTCTTTTTCAAGATCCTTACCCATAAAGCTTCAGGGTTTTGAATCATTCTCCAAACTTGCTTACCCAACAAAGCCTCATTGAACCTCTCCAAATCACGAAATCCCAACCCCCCATCCTCCTTTCTTCTTGTCAACATATCCCATTTTTTACAATGTATCCCTTTTTCCCCATTGTTCTTACTCCACCAAAATCCATAGATTTTTGCAGTTAACTCCTGACAAAAATTAACTGGGAACTTAAAGATAGTTATTGCATACGATGGAATGACTTGCAAGATGGAATGACTTGCACCACAGCTTTGATCAAGACTTCTTTCCCAGCATGATTCGGTAGATTCTCCTTCCATCCTGCAATTTTCGTCAGAACCCTTTCCTTGATCCAACTTAATGTCTGTTTTTTAGATCTCCCCCATTCTGTAGGGAGACCCAAATATTTTTCTGTCCTCATGATAGGAGGCACACGAAGAATCCCAGCTAACTCCTGCTGAACTTGAAAGGGAGTATTATTGCTAAAAAACACACCTGATTTATTCAAGTTGATGAGTTACCCCGAAGCATAGCAATATTTGTTTAGTACTTGTACTAGCTCAAAGCAGTTGGATCTCGATCCTTCTAAAAAAAAATTGAATCATCTGCAAATAGCAAGTGGGCCAAACTAGGGCTATATCTACTCAAGGTTAGCCCTTTAATTCTCTCTTCCTCCACTGCCTTATTCATTAAAGCTGTCAAACACTTAGTTACCATAACAAACAGGTAAGGGGATAAAGGATCTCCTTGCCTCAGTCCTCTCGTAGGTATCACCTTTGTAGTTACTTCCCCATTCATTAGAAAATGATATTCAACTGTTGAAACAAATTGCATCACCATGTGAACCCAAGGTACTGAGAACCCCATCTATAGCATGAGATCTCTCAAAAAGTCTCATTCCACCCTATCATATGCCTTAGCCATATCTAACTTGATTGCCAGTTGGTATTTCCTGGTCTTCCTTCTTTGTCTCAGTGAGTGGAGAAATTCCTGGGCAATTACAATATTGTCCTGTATTTCTTTATGTCCCACAAAAGCACTCTGATTTTGGGAGGTCAATATTGGCATAAATTCCTTCAACCTGTTACTCCTAACCTTTGAAATTATCTTATAGACCACATTACAACAACTAATTGGTCTATACTCCCCCATAGTTTCAGGATGCTGAACCTTCGGAATCAAAGTGACATTGGTAAGATTGAAAACTTTCAGCATAAACCTGGAGGTAAAAAATCCCTGGACAGCTGCCCCAACATCCATCCCCACAATATCCCAATACTTTTGAAAAAATAAACCAGGCATTCCATCCGGTCCCGGTGCTTTTAAAACACCAATCTCAAACACAGCCCTCCTTATCTCCTCCAAGTCTGATAACCTTATGAGGGATTCATTCATTCCACCAGTTACAAGCTTTGGAACATGTTGCAAGATACTCACATAATTTCTGCTTCCCTTAGTATTGAATAGTTTGGTGAAATAATCTTTCACCACCTCTTTGATTTGATCTGGTTTTGTTATCCACTCATCATCTTTAGTTCTTAATCTTACCATTCTATTCCTCTACCTCTTTTGAACTGTCGTAGCATGAAAGAATTTGGAATTTCTATCCTCCAATCTAATCCGCTTTAATCTGGACCTTTGTCCCCAATACTTCTCCTCTCTCCTCCACAACTTCTCTAATTCCTTCGAGATTTCCCCAACTTTGTTTTGGGAAAAGCTGGAAACTAGAGTATCTCCAAGCTTTCTTTTTAAATCTTCAATCATCTTTCTGCTATTCTTGAAATTCAGCCTACTCCATTTAGATAATTCTCCACTGCAACCTTTTATTTTTTGCTTAAGACTGTATAATCTTGACCCCTCCCCAACTTGCATCCATCTATTTTTTATTACCTCTCTACACTCCCCTTCATCAGCCCAAGCTACTTCAAACTTAAAGCTTCTTCTAGGCTTCCTATTCATGGGTTCAGTATCCACTACTAAAGGAGAATGGTCAGACTCAATTGCTGCTGGAACAATTACTATAGCATTAGGGAATTTGACCCTCCAGCTTACACTAGCCATAGCCCTATCCAGTCTTTCCCTTACATTCGCATCCCCTTCTCTATGATTATTCCATGTATATCGACATCCTTTGCTTTCTAAATCCACCAAATTGCACCCATCAATCAGATCTTTGAAAGTTTTCAATTTTCTGTTCTCCCTTCCTCTCCTCTCCTCATTCTCTGTAATATATGCAATATCGTTAAAATCCCCCAAACAAAGTCAGGGGACATCCAAGCTCCTTCCATGAGTAGTTAGTTTGGACCATTGTTCACATCTGTGCTCATACTCCGGATGATCATACACAAACGAGATAGCCCATGGTTCTTCCATACCCATCCCTTTACAGCTAATATGTATACTATGCTGACTACACTCCTTCACAATAATATTTGCTCCTTTGTTCCATAGCAAACATAACCCACCCGATAAACCTCTTGGTTCCATCACCACTTTATTATCAAACTTTAGCTGTCTTCTAAAATTCTCTAATCTACTTCTTCTCATTTTTGTCTCGCATAGCCAGACAACTTGGGGTTTATACAGGACACAAAGGTCCCTAAGTGCTGAACTTGGCAAAGGAGACTCCAACCCTTGGCAGTTCCATGCTACTAGCTTCATTTGAGAGTGGGGGGCATGGTTAGGCTCGCCACCTTAGCCATAGTCAAATATGTAACTGGTACTTCCACAAGGTTTTTCACTATCAACTCAATTTTCTTCCTGCCTCGTTTAACCACTTTCCTTTTCTTCTGTCCTCGTTCCTCAGTCTCATTCAGCTAAACATTATCTTCCACCACTTCTATCTCCCCCCAATTAGATTGATAATCTAGAACATTGACCTCCCATTCCTGCCTTACATTCTTTCTCGCATACACACCTTCCTCTTTTCTTTGAGATTTATAAGACAAATCCATGCTATGCTCTTGCACCCTAATGCTTCTTTTAAGATTTAACTGTTTACTAAATTTAGATGGAAGACTCAACTCAACATACCTCTGTACCTCCACTGAAGTCTTCCCAATCCTTTTTCCCTGCTACAATTGATCCTCATACTGCACCTCATTCTCTGATAGATTACAACTACCATGCTCCCTAATATCCTTCTTGACTCCAGAAGTCAACTCCCAGACATCAGGCTGTTTCACAACATCTGTCAGATCTTGTATAATCAATTCTGAGGAGGACAATTTAAACTCAATCTCCTTAGCCTTGAGCCAAGTATCATTTTGCCTTTCATCACTAAAACATAGTGGACCCCCTTTTATAAGAGTACAAACTCCCGCATGTTCTCTTTCTTTACTTGTACCAACTAATCCGCATTCCGAATCAGTTGCTCTTTCCTCTCTGTTAATCGTAACTGCATCAGCCATGTCCTTATTGAATGGACTAGCAGCTGTTACCAGTTTTTCTTTGCATAAAGACCCACACGCCTCCCACATGCCATCGGGTACCAATTTATCACGCGCCGCCCTACTATCACCATGGAATTCATATTCATCTGATACAAGTTCCGTTATCCTCTACAACTCTTGCTTTCTATCATCACTAGCTCTCTCCTCCACCCTTTCCTTTGCCCCAAATGAAACACATTCGACCACTATCCTGCAATCTCCTTTAAGGTTATCCACATTTTTCCATGAAGAAATAGGGTTTGTAGGGGATTTCCCTCCAATCGCCCTAAGATCCCTTCTTCAGATCTGATATTCTTTTACAGGTATCCTTATCATGGTCTAAGCACCCACACACATAACAGAAATTTGCAAGTTTCTCATATTTGAACTTACCTATACTTGCGTCGAACCTTTGTTCGCAAAGAAGAAACCTTTACATAAAGGATCTTCCACTTTAATCATCACTCTAATCTGAAGAAAAAGTTTCATGTGAAGCCTTGGATTCTTTACATCATCGATCTCGATTCACCCAAAATTTTAGCAATCTTCGCCAAATTACCCTTTGTCTTTTTCCTCACAGGGAGGCCATGGATTTGAATCCAAAAAGGACTCCGATCAAACTCCACCTCATCAATATTTTGATTTGATTTCAACTTTCTCAGAACAAGTAATTTCCCCATTACCGACCAAGGCGATAGACTATAGATTCGATTACGCTCTTCCTTTGTGGTAAAACCGAAGAGAAAAATATTGGACTCCCATTTTTCCACCGAAATTGGACCTCTGGTTCTCCATGCATTATTCACTATGTTCGTGATCCCAATACGGTTTATAGATCTACTCATAATAACTTTCCTAACCAAACAAAGCTTCTGCATATCGAATTTGATATCAGCATCGTTCTCCAACTTAATACACTTCGGTCCACCATATTGGCCTAGAGGACGCAGATTGCGATTCAAATCCTGTCCAGATCTCAAATCCTCCATTATTGCACCAGATCTATATCTCAAAGACAAAAAAACAATTCAGACTAATCGGCAAACAATCTGAAACGAGAAGGGCAAGAAGCCATATTAGACCAAGAAGAAGACAAAAAGCTTTATGGAAAGCATCACCAGCCAAATTGACCGGCAAACCAAAGAAACTGAGACTAGAAAGCTCAGGGGAAAGACTCCTTAGAGAGAGAAGCTCTCAAACGAGAGAAAGAGAACTCTGAATTTATCCATTAGAGATCCACTTATCTAATAGTGAAAAATTAAGTCACATCATTTGAAACAGAGATTTGATAAGCATAACATTACACTAAGTAAAGTGGTTTCACTTGAGGATAGTTAAGTGAGCATCAGAATGAATTGGGATGGGCCTAAGACTCGATGACCCATATATGACGAGGGTTAGGATAGTTTTAGGAGTGTCAAAATACGTCTGACATGAATATGATATGAAATTGTAGAATTGAATATTTCTGAAGCCACTCATTTTGTAAATGAATGGATTTGATACGACAAGATTAATAAATAAATTAGGTATAGATAAATTCAATCAAAATAAATATATGACACCACTTATTTATATATTAGTTATAAACTCGACACGACACTTGGTAAACACAAATTAACAAATGAATTAAATATACATAAAATATTTTTGACACGATCCTGTCCAACTGACACGATTAACAGGTGCAGTTGGTTGTTTTAAACTATTCAATTAACCATGCTATAGTATGAAAGGAAGGTCCACCAAACGCTCATCCTATTGGTCCTAATTGGCTTATTATTTTTTTCATTTTTTAAACTTTATTAATTAATTACTAGTCCAGTTCGTGAGTTGTCCATGGGCCGTATATGTTGGATCGAGCCAACACTTACCCAGCTAGGTCGCCAATATTATGGACCAACCCATGAATAACAATCGAATGTGGAGAGTCTTACTTGGCAAATTAACTGGTAGACCTATAAGACCTAAAAAAAAAGAAGAAGAAAGAAACAAGAACATAGGTAGGACTGTCACTAAATCATATCAAGTTAAAATTGGTTAGATCAATACTGTCCATTTATAATTGTGTATGATTAGTTTTATTTCATGTTAAAATTGATTTGACACATTTTCAGGAGCAGCTCAAGAATATGTGAGACTTAAAGCGATAAATGTTAATGAAGTTTTTATATTTTTATTAATATTCTAAAATTTTAAATCAGTTTTTATTTTGGAATCTTTGTGAGAATGAATAGTTTTATTGGTGTTTTACGCTTAAATGACAACAAAATCGAATTTCAGATAAATAAAGAATGTGTTGGGTCTGTTTTTTATTTTTGTACAAGAGACTTAAAAACTGATGCTTATTATATTATTTTTAATAGGATAAAGTCAAAAAAAAAATTGATGATATCAGACTTTCTTGTTAACATATTTTTTCTTTCAACAAATGTGATTGTGTGAAACAGGTTGAACTTTTGGACCCTAATTTTAAAATTATTTTTGTTGGTTTATTCTTTCAGGAGCTTTGGGCAAAATTATATTTAGTTTTAATTTTTGACCTATACTACATTATCGACCTCTCAAATTTGAGGTCTTATTTATATCTAGAGCCTAAAACTCATGCTTTTTTTCTTCTACTATTGAGTGGGCATCGCACATACTCATCTTACTCATAATTAGATATAACCAGATTAATATTGTATTATTGAGCAGACTCAACGGGTCAATCCGTTTATCTCTCAAATTCTTTACAACTAAACCCATTTCCAATTATTTCATATCAATTTCTTTATCATATTTCTACCCCCCACATACAACACCATCAAGAGGAGTAAGAAGCACTAGTTTTAAGGGAAGAACATATCTTCATAAATATTTTTGGAAGAAAAATGCATAAAGAACATTTTAAGGAAAAGAAAAAAACAATTCGTAAAGCAAAACTCAGAGGGTGAAAAAGCAGCTTACCTGTGATGATGAGAGTTGTAGATAGAATTGAAGCAACTACCGTCATCATAGCTGCCGAGACATAGAATCATCAAAAACCTAAATGTTCTTCATCAATACAGTTTGAGTAATTCATTACGTTGTTCTAGAAAATTTATGCTAAGATCTTAAAGTTTTGACAACTAACAACATAGAGAGAGAGAGAGAGAGAGAGAGAGAGTTTGGTCCAATATTGTGATCCAAACCAGACCACATGTTTCCCTCATAGCATGGACAAAGTATAGACTAAAACCCTTGGAAATAGACAAAGAAATTTGGTGTGCATGACTGGTTATTTAACACTAAATCTTTTACAAACTAAAAATTTTAGTTGGTGATTTTTTTGATTTGGTTTAGTTTGTCATCCTTGATTTGGTAACAATTTTTACAACTAAGATGATCACTCATTGTCCTCAATTTTGAATAGTCTATTGTGTTTTTCTTTCGGACTTCTATTTATTTTTATTCTACTATCGATAATAGATAGATTTGATAGTAATATATCAACATGTACATAAAAAAACTCACTCATTCAAAAGATTATAAAAGCTAGTCACTTTTCTAGACTAGATATTGAGCGTAACAAAAAGGTGAAAATGTAACATTAAATTGTTTTGACATCCGACATTGTCTTTTTTTATTTAATGGACACAACAAGGAAATATATATAAACGTACACGTATTTTACCCAACATCATAGTGCAATTACAAGAGTCCAAAAAGATTATCAAGCCCAAGTTCAAGCACCATATCCACATTTGACGTTGTCTGTCCCACATTAATTTGTATAAAAACATTTAAAAATTAATATTTGAAGACTCAAATTCAAATATCCATCTAGTTTTTCCATGATTGTGTATCTTACATTGTTATCAGAAGTTGAAAAAGATAGTGAGCTTTCTTTAAAAGAAAAAGTGTTTTGTTGGGTATAATTTTTTTTTTATTTTTTACAAAACCTTGTTTTTACCAATAGGTATAGTTGACTATACGGGTCCTAGCACAAGGTGAAATTCTATTCTACATGCTAATAGTTAATTTGTACTTGGGGAAGTGGCATGATTCATTACATTTCTTTTTAATAAAGTGAGTCCTCTAAGGGCGAATTCAAGTGATAACGAAAATATGAGATTTTAATATAATAATAAATTATACTCTTTATGTATGTGTACTATGCATTATTGTATCTATAACTAAGATTAAAAGAAAAGAGTAAATAACAACAAATAAAAAAAAGCAATAAAAATGTAAAAACAAACACCACTTAAAAAAGCAAGTCTTTAAAAAAGTAAAAAAGGCAACAAAAATGTTATAAAGCTTGCAAATTGTTTAAGTGCAAATGATTAATTTAAAAACAAATAGAGAGATATTGCATCTCAATTGGTGAACCGATAGTATTTTCATAGTCTCTTTTTTATAGAGAAATTATATGATCGTTGTCAAAGACTTTAAAGAAATGAGAGCAATGCGGTGAGACATGCATTAATGAAGATGAGATGGTAGTGGTCATCCACCATGTGATATTGTTTTACAATACTCCTCATTGGATGATCACTATAACAAAATAGTATTCAATGCATAAATGTTGTCTCATTAAAATCTTGCTAGTAAAATCCAGTGGGATAAAAGCTGGACGAAGGAAAAAGAGTACAACGTGAAAATTATCCAGTTGGAGATCCTAAGCACTGCCTCGTTAAAAACCTTGCTAAGTAAAACCTAGTGGGAAAAAAATTAGCTAAGGAAAAAAGAGTACATGTCTCCCCCTGTTGAATATATCCGGGCAAAATCATGATTATTCAGCTTCATAGATCTTTAAGACACTGCATTCTGATTTGATTTACCAATTTCTAGAATGTAGTCGATATAAGCATTTTAGTGAACAAATCTGCTAGATTTTTAGTTGAATGAACTTGCTAAAAATTAGTATCATCATTCTTTCTAACTCATTGGTGTAAACAAATTTTAGTGAGATATGCTTTGTTTTGTCATCGGTGATATATCATTCCTTAAGTTATGTGATACAAGTTGTATTATCCTTGTATAATGTTGTTGGAATGTCTTTGATTGAAGGTCTATGCTCTTGAATTTGTTGGATCATGGATCTTAGCGAAATATATTCTCGACTTGCTTAATGGATAGCTAATATTTCAGAGTGATTGAATGATGTAACAACTATTGTTTTCTCTTTTTTTTTTTGTTTTTCTTTGGTCTGGAGAAATGTAACAACCATTGTTTGCTCAATCAATTTTCATGACATAGTCGTAACACCATAAGTAAACACATATTCAATTTATGATCGATCTTTATGTGGATCAGAAAGATAATTGATATCTACATATGGAACTAACTGCGAACTTTGGTTATTCACATAGAATAACCTCACAACCACTATCCCACGAAGATACCGCAATACATGCTTAATCTCATTTCAATGCCGTCGAGCTGGTGTTGAGTTGTATCTTGCTCGTAAGTTAACTTCAAATAATATGTCTGGCCTC